TGTTTGTTTTTGCTCCTGTAACACTCGCAACAACAGTATGTGTACGTGCTCACGTTACAGCTGCTGTTTACATGGCCAGCGAACGCTTTCCTTCCTCTGTGTGTGTGTGTGTGTGTGTGTGTGGTGTGTGTGTGGTGTGTGTGTTCTTGTAGTGCTATACTTGTGAGGACCCCATGTCCTTACTATGATAGGACTGTATGAAATTTTTGCATGTGTAGTTTTCACCATAATTACTTTTTTATTTGAAAACTAGAAGAGCAGAAAAAATGCCTTTCGGATACTGAGGTTAAAGTTAGGGTTAGGTTTAGGTTTAGGTGTAGTATTGTTTAGCTACAGTAACACAAAAGTCAATAGAAACCTATGGATGTCCTCATATGTATAGCAAGACAAACGTGTGTGTGAGTGTGTGTGTGTGCGCGTGCATTTGTGTGCGTGTGCGTGCATGTATGTGTGTGTGTGCTGAAACGCCTCCTCTTCCTGCGTGAAGGTTTGATCCTCAGACACTGAGAGATGATCAGCTACTACAGAGCTGAATGAGCTTCTGTTGGTCAGACTGAGGAACAAATACCTGCTGATCACTGACTGGTTTCAGGTTTTAATTAAAAAAAAAATGAATAAAACAGCAAATAAAGTGAGCTGTTTTATATGTCTTAGTGCAGGGGTGGCAAACCCAACCACTAAAGGGGCCATATTTAAAAATCTCAACGAATCTGTGGGCCAGAGAAAAAAATGTTTTTCATTGTTAATTAATGTCGCGCTGTAACCCGAACTGACCGTTCTTTATTCAAAATATGCAAAAACTTCAGCAGTAAAATATGGGCTCTTGTAAGAGACCTTGAAATATTGCATGAAAACATGAAATATTCAATATTTAACTGTCCCCAGGACCTCAGACTTTTAAATCTACCTATTTCCTTGAATTGGACACCTGCCATTGTTTCTTTGTTGCAAGTTCATTAATACTTGGACTCATTTTCTGAGCTAAAAACTTAAATGATTCAAATATAATTTGAAATAAAAACAATGTTTTATGCAAAACAATAGACTACATTAGCTGCACTAACTGTTAAACCTCTTTAATTGTCCCCAGTGTACAGTAGGCTTCTTGAAACTGCCCATTCGCTTGAACCAGACACCTTGCATCTGTCTTTTTGGTTATGGTGCAGTCCCATAGATCGTTGTTAGGGAGGGGTGGGAGCACATATTGTTGCAGTGCATGCTGGGAACTGTAGTGCAGCTCATGGTGAAATTGGCTAATATTAATAGAAAACTCAAATAATTGTGAGAGCCATAGGATTGTGCCACGGGCCTGCCTTGGCCCACGGGCCTTGTATTTGACATGTGGGCACTAAGACATTCTTTCAGCGTACAGTAGCAGCACTGAGGCAGTGTGAGTTCATTAACTTTATGAATGCAGACTTCAGTATCATCTAATATTGTGACACCGTGATATACACCGATGAAGCATAACATCATGACCACCTCCTTGTTTCTACGCTCAATGTCCATTTTATCAGCTCCACTTACTATATAGGTGCACTTTGTAGTTCTACAGTTACAGACTGTAGTCCATCTGTTTCTCTGCATACTTTGTTAGCCCCCTTTTACCCTGTTCTCCAGTGGTCAGGACCCCCATGGACCCTCACAGAGCAGGTACTATTTGGGTGGTGGATCATTCTCAGCACTGCAGTAACACTGACGTGGTGGTAGTTTGGTAGTGTGTGTTGTGCTGGTCTGAGTGGATCAGACACAGCAGCGCTGCTGGAGTTTTTAAACACCTCATTGTCACTGCTGGACTGAGAATAGTCCACCAACCAAAAATATCCAGCCAACAGCGTCCTGTGGGCAGCGTCCTGTGACCACTGATGAAGGACTAGAGGATGACCAACACAAACTGTGCAGCAGCAGATGAGCTATCGTCTCTGACTTTACATCTACAAGGTGGACTGACAAGGTAGGAGTGTCTAATAGAGTGGACAGGAAGTGGACACAGAGATGGACTACAGTCTGTAATTGTAGAACTACAAAGTGCACCTATATAGTAAGTGGAGCTGATAAAATGGACAATGAGCGTAGAAACAAGGATATACAGGTCATAATCTTATTCCTGATCGGTGTGTTTGGAAAGTATGATCCTGTTCTGCTCTCACTGAATGTAAATTGAACACAGACTGAAGCTTTGCCTCACAGACACTCGCTCAGACAGAAGCTTTATTAATAGGTCATGGAGCTGAATAAGATATTCAGAGAAAAGCGAAAAGGAAGAGAGGGGAGAAACTTCCAGATGTGCAGGATGTGAGAAAGAGGCAGAGAGAGAGGGAGCAAAAGGGGGAGAGGAGGTGGAGCACTGAGAAGAGGGGAAATAAGGAGATAGATGAAAAAAGAGAGCAGCTTCTGCCCTCTTCATCATGACTGCATTTGGTCTTTTTTTATTCCTCCCCCTTTTCTTTCCCTCTGCTCCGTGTCAGAGTGCGTCAGCAGAAACTCGTCTCAGAAATGTTGTTTTTGGGCGGAACGCTCTCAGATCAAACTCTGTAAAGGTTAACGGCTCTCAGGCATCACATGGCTTTGTCGTCAGACTAATTCACTTCCTTCACGATTCAATTTGGTGGCTTTGCCGTCTGCTCTCAGAATGCGGCAGGCTTTCCAAAAAGCCATTCTTCTTGCGGTTAGTCATGCTGCTCAAGCTAAATATTTGAACACCGAATAAGGCCTTATTAGCTCGTCCTGGTAGTGGATGATCTGAGTGCTGGGAGATATATCTTCGATACCAGCTAGGCTGATATTCAGTAATAAGATATATCACGATATTCAACACACAGAATTGTTATCATGGGTGCTTTGAAGTGTCATCGCTTAGTGGTGGGCAGCGTGGCCCAAAATTTATATCATGGTATAATTACAATGTTATCACCATTTTAGATGCATAAGTAAACCTGACTTACATTTACATTTACAGCGTTTAGCAGACGCTCTTATCCAGAGCGACTTACAGAAGTGCTTTTGGGGCAGTCATGGGGCAGCCTTGTGACTGGAAGGTCGCCGGTTCCATCCCCTGAGCCGACAGTACGTGACTGAGGTGTCCTTGAGCAAGACACCGAACCCCCAACTGCTCCCCGGGCGCCGTGGATAGGGCTGCCCAACGCTCCATGCAAGTGTGCTCACTGCCCTCCTAGTGTGTGTCTTCACTAGTGTGTATGTGGTGTTTCACTGCACGGATGGGTTAGATTGCGGAGGTGAAATTACCCCGTTGTGGGACTAATAAGGGTCACTTAATCTTAATCTTTGTTGTCTACTCAAAGAAAGTATCTTTGGTAGTACAAATATGTTAGAGAGAGCTCAGATATTGCTAGAAACAAAAGCCTATGTTGATACCTTCACTATTAGAAATAAAGGTTCAGGTACATTGTTCGTTCATCAAGGTTGGCTAGTTGCCGGTTTTCAAGCTTACTGTCTATGTTTTTCGGACATAATACTTTCTAGCTTCCCCACAACAACCCCCACATCTGTAACCAAGCCCCTCTAAAATGAAATGTCAAGGAAGACACTTTAAGGAACTTAAAGTATTTCTTTCTTCACCGGCAAGTAACAGTGACAGTTATTTGTGTCTGTCCTATTTTAATGCACTGTATTCATCTGTTTGGAGTGAACCCTTAAAATCCCAGCCTTTTACATACATACTAAGGCTTATTATTCAGTAACTACCCCAGACTGTAATGCAAACTGGTTGAGTTATTCTTAGGAAGTGTGTAGTAAAACTTTAATTGCTAAAACTTTTGCAATTAAACAAACTCACATCCCCAAAACATCTAAACGTCTCTCAGACGGCTTAGACCACATCCAGGTCCTTTCAAAGCCAAAATGTAAGCACATCACTTTGCTTTAGGGAACTTAACCAACATGTGCACTGCAAAAAAATGGGATCTTGGTAAATAAAATGGGTAATATAATAGTTGTAAGCTTATTACAAGATTATTTAACTAGGTTTAGACATTTTTGCTTGTTTATAGTTATTTTGTCTACTAAAATTCATGATCCAAGATATTTAAGATAATTTCACTTGCCAAGATGACATTTTTCAGGGTGCCTGTCAGGGTGCGTAACTAGGCTGTTAAATGTGAGGTCAATGTAAAATGTAATTTTTTTCTCTGTGGTTTTAACAGCTATAATGAAGTTTAGTTGCTAGTTGCCGGTTTTCAAGCTTACTGTCTATGTTTTTCGGACATAATACTTTCTAGCTTCCTCACAACAACCCCCATATCCGTACCCAAGCCCCTCTAAAATGAAATTTCAAGGAAGACGCTTTAAGGAACTTAAAGTAACAGTGAAAATTATTTGTGTCTGACTTTTTTTAATGCACTGTATTCATCTCTTTGGAGTGAACCCTTAAAATCCCAGGCTTGTACATACATACTAAGGCTTATTATTCAGTGACTACCCCAAACTATAATGCAAACTGGTTATAGAAGTGTATAGTAAAACTTTCGACCCCTCTGTGGGTCGTGGCTATTTAAGGGCTTAATAAAGCAGTTTATTATCATATGTGTTGCTTTTTTAACATTCGATGCCTCATTTTGAGAGGCATTTTCAGGTATGTGTTGTATTTTAAGCATTACTGATTTAAGACATTTTAAAGATATTTTAAAAGCAAAATATTGAGCTATGACATCAGATCCAATTAATGTTCCTTAAATCTAGCCCAGTGCTTCAAACCAATGAAGTATTTAAAGGTGGATTTTCTCACATGTTGTCGGATAATTTTGCTTGATTCACATTCTTTTTTCTTGATTAGGTTTTATTTTGACAATGTAACGTAATGTGTGACAGTAATATGTCAAAGCGCAGTGTAAACACAGATGTTTGAAGCTTTAAAACTTTCAAACAAAATATTCTTTGCATCGTCTGCAAAATACAGTGAAACAGATACGATAAAACCAAAACCATGTTCAGTTTTATCAGTGTTGCCCAGTAGTAACAGTTCTTTTTTCCCTCTGTCTCAGATGCAGCAGGGAAGACGGATCTCGTCCACGGCTCTTCATCTTCACCATCGCCGTCCACCTCTGCAGGCGGTGCAGAGGCAGATCAGTCTGTCGAGGCAGACTTCACAAGACACACGCAAATTACTGTCTCCAAAAAGCAGAACTGGGCCAAACTCTCCTCCACTGGGTCCCGGGACCAGGCCGGGCCGGATCAGCTCTCCAGCCTCAGCGCTGTGGTTACGGACCGGGACGGGTGCTCAGGCAAGACCCAGGCTTCAAAACAGGCCTGGAGCCAGAGGACTTTCAGGGAGGACGGGTTGTTGGAGCGATGGAAAGATTTGGACAGGGATTTGGGTTACTCCAGGGACAGAGACGATGCAGGTTTACCTGAGTTAACCTCTCCATCTGCGGACTTCTCCATCTCCACCAACATCGCTAAGCTTTCCGGGCAGGGAGCCTACCTCCAGCACCTGGAGAGAAGCAGCCGAGCCTGGGTACTCTCCACAGGAAAGTCCCATGCTCCAGACGAGGCCTACCCGGCCTGCCTTACAGACTGGAGGCACGCAGGTGAGGGCGAAAATAACATTTGGTACAACCCCATCCCAGAGGAAGAGGACGCTCGGGCCTTTGGAGTCAAGGAGAGGGAGAGATACAGAGATCCCTGGAGGAAGAGAGAGATGGAGGGAGCGCCGGAGGAGAGGAGAGGTGAGAATTCTGCTGGCATCCAGCGAAGCAGAGAAATACTGACAGAAAGGAGGAAAATGTGTTCTGGTTAACTTCGGTTCTTTTTTTAAACCTGACGCTGATATCACAGCTGGCTGTAAATGTTTTAGGACATTCAGCTTTGTTTTAAAAAAAATAGTTTGATGAAAAATCTGATTTCTCCTGTTTTTAGTCCAAGTTTTTCTTCTGTAGTTTAGCCTTTTTAACTCCGTGGGACCACCGGTGGTTCCAAAACGCACTTTGTCATATTCTTCATAACATTCATATTTCATAAGCTACATTCTAAAGGTGGGGGTCGTATGAGAGCTGTAACTGTCTTCTTTCCAGTCAAATAGATGGGTGATGTAATTTTAAACCCTTATAATAAAAGAAGCTGAACTCACAATTTTTTTTTTCTACTGAAAGTCGACCCTTTTTTCCACAAATCTGGGCTATAAACTATAAACAGATGGCGTCTCTTCAGTGATCTGCTCTGTAAAAATTATTTTTATAAAAAATACAAAGAGCGTCTAAGATTTTTGGCTTTCAGCAGTAAATTGTAAGCATATAGCAATATGTGTGATCATAAAACACACGTTCTGTTAATTTGAGGGGAAAAATAAATAAAATAAAAATTTACATTTATTTCATGCAGTTACTGAATAATTTGCCTTACGATTTGGTCACGTAAATTCAGATGGAAAAACCAAAATATACCCTGGTCAATAAGAGGTTAAAACTGAAGCTGCAAAGACAAACGTTGCTAACAAACACTAGAACTCAGTGGTCACCCAAATAGCCCAAATCATTTTGGTAAAACACAAGTAAGAAAATGAACGTTTTTACATGCACACACTTAGTTTGCAATTAAAATATATACACACACCTCAAAAATTTACACAAACCCACATCCCCAAAACATCTGAACACCTCTCAACCCACTTAGACCACATCCAGGTCCAGCAACAAGGCACAGAACAACACTTATTTCAAGGCCAAAACATAAACACAACACTCCGCTACAGTGTTTTTGCAAGTTATGGGAACTTAGCCGACCTGTGCACTGCAAAAAATCAAATCTTGGTAAATGAAATGTGTAATATTTCTCTTTTTTAGATTGTTGTAAGTTTATTATGAGATTATTTAACTAGGTTTAGACATGTTTACTTGTTTTAAATAATTTTGTCTACTAAAATTCATGATTCAGGATATTTAAAATAGTTTCACTTGCCACAATACCACTTGTTGCAGGGTGCCAGTTCTAGGTAAGTAGTAAAGTTGACTGTATTAAAGAAGACAAATGTCAATACTGCAAAAAATAATTGTTTGGAGGAACACCGCTGTGGTGTCCATTAAATAACTAGGCTGTTAAATGTGAGGTCAGTGTTTAAAATGTATTTTTTTCTCTCTGTTTTTTTGGTAGCTACAGTGGATTTGGCTAGTTACTGGTTGTTAACTTTACTGTTCATGTTTTTTGGACATACTTTCTAGCTACCCCACAACACCCCCACCCATGATCTGTAACCAAGCCCCTTTAAAATTCCAAGAAAGACAGTTTAATGAACTTCCGGTATTTTTTTTTCTTCACTGGCAACAATGAAAATTAAACATTACTCTGAAAATTTCAGAAGATAGATGTATTTGCAGTGTATAGTAGCCTATTAGTTATAGAAGCAGTTGCAGCCTAGCAACATGCAAGCTAGATGTGAGTTTCAGTTCATTTTAATGACAGTGATTATTAGTTTCATCTTGTTTTGGGTTTTGGTCATTTTTATTTATTTCACTCTACAAAAAAATTAGTTTACTATATTAGCTCTGATGCTAATTTACGAAACTTAAGCTACTAATATGTTTCTGCTTCATCAAATTAGATGAGTAAGGAAAGTGAATTACTGTGTAATATTTTAAGACTATTTGGTAACGTTTCATCTAAATAGTTGCTAATAAACAGCATTGCAATCATCATCTAATAGTTTGTTAATGACTGTAATAATTAGTAATAGTTACACATGCATTAATAAGTGGTACCATTTGAATGATTAACCCTTTACTTAGTAAGCTATAAATAAGTACATAGTGTGTTTATAAAGATTTTGTTAATTGGTGCTCATGACTTAAATCAATACAATTAATAATCATTATGAATAATTACATGTTGAATAACCAGTAATTGTCTATGTCCTAAATGATGAAGTGCTACTTTGTGATGCCTAAACTTTTCCTTAATGCTTAGTTAATCTTTAGTAAGAGATTAATGTATACTTTTTAAAATGTTATTAATACTTTATAATGCCTTTATAAAGTTAAATAAACATCATAAATTTATAAAAAGGAATTGTTACCATGGATTACTATTTGTATGTCAGTTGATAATTTAAATGGCAGAACTTATTAATGCAGTAAAAATTAAAAATTAGAGATTCATTAAAAACTTTTATGATAATGGTTATTTAGTGTTTCTAATACTAAATTATTAAACTTATTAGACCTATTAAACTATTCAGAAAAATACAGGAAGTGATTATTCTTAATAATTTGGATATTTTGACAGCATCTGGACAGAACGTTGCTTATTACACATTGAATATTTGGCTTAGCTGAGAATGTGAATACAGAAATCTCGCATAGGCACTTTCTAACCACAGTGTTACACTGAGTGACCGCTGAGTGAGTTTCTTTGTCTCTGTTGTAGATGTTTATCAGCAGACGTGTCATTCAGATGCTCAGTGTGTGGGAGGAGCACCAGCAGGCCTCAGCACTAGTGTTGTTCCTGGCGTCATTAGCGAATACACTGGTGGGGCCACTAGCGGTTCATCAGGGTCTTCGGGGAGCCCTGGAGCTCTGAAGAAAAGCTCAGGAGGAAGTGTGGGTGGCGGCGGCAGCGTGATGGACAAGATCAAGTCCCCAGGCACGGTCCGCCGCCTTTCAATGAAGATGCGGAAGCTTCCAGAGCTTCGACGCAAGCTTAGCCTGCGCTCGTCTCGTAACCAGCGTCACGCCGTTCACGGACCCGGGGGTTCGGGAGCGACAGCGGGCACTGACGAGGCCTCGCCCCCTAATGCACGCAAGGAGTCCTCCAACAACGTCATAAGCAGGTACCACCTGGACTCCAGCGCCCCCGCCAGGCCGAGGCGCAGGTCCTCGCGCACACGCTCCGCAAGCAAGGGTGGCTATCTTAGCGACGGAGATTCACCTGAACTCTTGCCCAAGCAGGGATCAGGTCAGGGGTTGGCAGAGGGGTCACAGGAATCACAGGGCTCGCCTCCGCCTCCCCCAAATCATGGACGCCAGGATTCAGCTAACATAGTGGACACGGGGTCGTTCCGGCTCTACTCGCTAGCTGACCAGCCACGCTGCGCCCAGAGAGTTTCTGGCCTCCTTACTGTCCACCTGCTGGGTGTGGAGGAGTTGTTGCGTTTTCCGCGCGCCGACACTGGTAAGGACGTATTCTGTGCCATTCAAGTGGACGGAGTGACCCGCGCCCGCACCGCCCTGCTCACCTGCCGGGGGGCGTGTCTCCCTTTAAACCACACCTTCAACCTGGAGCTGGAGCGCGCACGGCTGCTCAAGCTGGTTGTCCTCACGCCAGCTGTTACCGTGGGTAACGATGGGTCATCTTCTGCCCCTGGTGGTCAGACTCGCAATCGAGTATGCTGTCTTGGTGTAGTGGCGATCCCACCTCTGTTTAAAGGTGAAATCCCAGTTTTGTGCTCGATTTTAGTGCATGTTTGCTGTGTCATTCATTACTTAGTTTGGAAAATTTCATTTCCTCATCATTCATTTTCTCATTTCCTTACTAAATATAGTTCATCAGTCAAGAAATGTTTGATGTCTGAAGTTTGCTTCTTTAGTTTTTTCACTGGACCTACAAGGCTAATGCTATTATTATTTTTATTATTAAATGCCATCAGGTCGGTTCTGACTCCTGGCAGCCATGTGGAGAGTGTTTCTCCAGAATATCCTGTCTTCTCTTTGGGCCTTAAGACTCCTTAAAAGGGATTTTCATTTTTTTCTGCATAATTAAATTGTTGAGATGTAATGAAGGTCATTCAGAGTGGTTTGGTGTGAAACGCTCCATTTCAGAGAAACTTAGAGGCAGGATTGTTCACAGTGGTGGTGATAGGAACCTGACATCTGAAGAGTTTAATGCCTCTACAAGTTCCTTCAAAGTTACACTTCCTGATGTCTGAGACATTGTTTTATGATAGTTTTGAGGTTTTAGCCTAAAACACGTGTTACATGTAATACATTCATGGTGGAGGGATGCATGCAGGGCACTGCAAGGCAAACTAGTCACCAAAGACTTAACGTTATTTTGCCATCATCATTACTCGTAAAAACTTTCTCTGGTGGTTTTGGATAGTAATTAAATAGGTTGTAGTGGTGTTGTAGACATCACAACCTCTGGCTCCTGTCTGTATGTTTCTCTAGAATGGAGCATTTCACATCAAACCACTCTGAATTACTTTAATTGACAGAAGAAATGGTGGAGTTCCCCTTTAATGGCTTGTTTGTGACATCTCTGATTATGTCCATCCATCTTGCTGGTCGTTCTCGTCCTCTTTTACCTTCAGCTAAACATAATGGTCTTTTCTGAGGTGTCCAAAATAAGAGCTTTAGTTTGGTTATCTGGGCTTTGAGTGAGAAATGAGGCTTGATTTGGTCAAGGATTCATTCGTTTGCCATCCAAGCACTCTCAGAAGTCTTCACCTACACCAAAGTTCAAAGGTATCAGTATTTTTCTTGTCCTGCTTTTTGCTGTCCAGCTTTTACATCCTTGAACAACCACAGAAAACACCACAGTCTGGACAGTTCTGATCAATGTAGCCAACAAGTAAAGGAAATCAGTTAGCACTGTGTAAACTACATACCTACATCATCATAGCTCTTCATGTTTACATGTTCGTTTATCTATAAAAATGTACAAACGTGCATTGCACAGCTGTGAACGGTATTAGCGGTCATTTAGACCTGAATTTCACTGTACTTTTGTCCATTTTTATAGATATTAATATCTAAAACTAGAGATTGAAGGATCGATCGGCTATGTATCAGTATTGGCCGATTCTCAGCCCGAATATGCGATTGGCTGATATCTCTCTAGCTTAGCTGATCCTGAGAGCTGATCAGTGATGGAAAACATATGGGCCATATTTTGCCTGAGGTTCCAGAGTGTAACTGCTGCACCAAAAAAGTGTTGTTCCCCTGGCAGTGCGCGTCCATGAATTTGGGAGCTGGAGCTTCTGAAGGCAGGGTTGTATTTGTTTTGCTGTTGTGTTCAAATAACAACAGTCGTTCTCCAGAATCTCTTACTGCACCATTGGATGCGGCATCCAGCCCCGTCCTCGATCGGCTATCGGCCGATTGTGCTGAAAGGCGGTTGGCGATCGGTATCGGCCCCAAAAACACAGATAGGTCCATCTCGAATATAAAGCTAAAGAAGCAAACTTCAGACACTGAGTATAGCTGATCGGTGAGGGTAAAATATTTGTTTATTTATTTGTTTTTTGCCAAAAATGTTTTTTTAACATACACAGCTTTATGTAAAAGTTTGGGCCCCAGATTAAATTCCATGTTTTGTTGAGTGTCTGTATGAAAATACGTGAACACATCCTCTACAGAGAACACACTTCTTATATTTTAACGCACAGTTACTGTTTATTTGCCAAATTTAACATGTATGGATAAAATAAAACATAACATGCAGCCTGTGCAAAAGTTATGGCATATTTTATATTTTGTTGCATTTTTTTTCCTCAATATGTTAAACTCAGCAAATAAAGAGAAATTGTGCACTAAAGTTTGCAGATACATGTCATATTTAAGTGTGTTCTCTGTTGATGATGTGTTTACTTATTTTCATATAGACAATCAACAGAACGTGTGATTTGAACAGGGTGTTGTTTTGCATACGCAGTGTCGGTCAATGTTACATTTCAGAATAAGTTTAAATTGATGTTTATGGAAAAGACTTTCCAAATACGTCATAATGAGTCAGGCTAGTTACCCTGACACAGCTTACTCAGAATGGGGTTTTCACGGGTGAATTAGTACTGAAGTTTAGTCTAGACTGGGTTTAATCTCTGCAGCTGTTGAGAGCTTGAGCTAGTAGCTCATATCGTCTGCAGAGACAGCGTTAGAGGGCACGTTAGTGTGTTTCATGTTGGTTACTGAGTTCAAGCTTCTGTTCATCCTCTCTTATTTTTGTCCCCCCTTCCGCCCCTCTCTCTGTTTATCTTTGCCCCCCCCCCACCAACGCTCTCCCACCGCAGCCTCGCGGAGCCAGCAGCTGTGTGTGAAGCTGGAGCCGCGGGGGTTGCTGTATGTGAAGTTGACTCTGCTGGAGCAGTGGGAGGCCCCCTCGCCCCGCCTCAGTGAGCTCCCGCCCCCCACCGTGTTTGGGGTGGAACTGCGGCGCCTGGTGGAGAAAGAGGGCCAAGAGCTCAGAGTTCCTCTGATCATTCAGAAATGTGTGGCAGAGATCGAAAAAAGGGGACTGAAGGTAAACTACATTTCTTTTTTTCTTTTAGGGCCACTTTTACGCTGGTGAGCGAAGTCAGTAAAGTTCTGTAGCTTAGAAAAAAATCTTCATTAATCTTCTAAGCCACTTATCCTTCTGGGTTGTGGGTCATTACCATACTATACAGTTCAAATGTCTTAAGCCACATGTAAAAATTAGATTTAAAGCTTTTTATCTGTGAAGAAATTATCGATTTGCTTGAAAAACCACAGACATGAGAATAGATATAAATAAACATTACAGGGGAAGTACACCAATTTTTCAAAATTTCTGCATGATTCAGTTGTTATCATAGTCAGTCAGTCTGGTTTGACATGAAATGCTACATTTTGGAGACACTAACCGATGGGGATGCACTGAAATTTCAGCCACTGAACATGTTTGGCCAAAAATGGTCAAGAAGCGAACTTCAGCCAAAAGACAAATAAGGCCAAAAAAAATGTATCCAAAGAAACAGAGATTAAATAGGTCAAAGCATCAAACAAAGCATCAAAATCGGAGACTTTACAAATAATCTTGATGAAAATGAGATCTAAAGGCTAAAATGCTATTTCTTCCCTTCACCTGACAAGCGATTAATAATCTCTGCTCATGTTGAGTATCGAGGAGATAAAACACCCAAGAACTGCTCCATTACAGGTTTGAGAGCTCTTGAAAACATTACATGTTGCAGGAACCAGAAGTCTTGAGAGTTTAATGCCTCTAAAAGCTCCTTCACAGAAAGTTATTACATGGAATGGTATGAATACACTGCCTGATAATTATGTTATTGTTTTATGACTGTTTTTATTCATGTTTTGGCCCCTAAACATATTTTTTATTCATTCATGGTGAAGATGTACATGCATTATTTCACCATCATCAACATTACATATAAAAAGTATATTAAATGGCTTGATTTACTCTGTAAATATTGCGACCCCTGGTTCCTGTGAACAGCACTGTAAATCTGAATCGGTAATTTTCTCTGTTAAACCACTTTGAATGGCTAACATACATTTTTCTTGACAGTTGAATTATGCAGAAATAAAAATGGTGGAATTCCACTTTAATACAATACATTATGAGTTGATATGTGAAGTGTTAGCTTTACTATTCTCAAATCTCTCTTTGTGGAAGTCCAGTATTTATAGTTACCTTCCAATACCTAGTTTATCTAATCAATCATTCACTAAATTCAATCAGGTAATGCTGATGAAACTGAACAGATCTACTAGATGGCTGGAGTTTAGTGGCTGGTTGCACCAGCTATGTGTAGGCTAGTTGTAATGTAAGTGTTTACTAAGTTCAGGTTTATGCTTTACTAAATCAGACCAGGTCGCACCACAAACTAGTTTTAACCTTTAGCTTAGTAGTTACTATATATTTACACCCCCCTCGGCTGGTGTAAGTTTTGGGGAAACAATCAGAAACCAGTGCATAAAAAAGACCAAAAACATGACTTTTTTGGTTAACTAAGCTAAAAATTCTGAAGATTATACGCTGTGATTTTACGTACAGCTCTAATCATCACCCTGGTTTAACTCTGAGCATGAAGCTAAACACCCACAGCTCCAGCTCAGAGAGACTCAGCTGCTGCCCAAACGGCTAAACTGAGGCTGCTGTTGTGTCGGTTATCCAGAAACTGTTGTTTAAAAAGCTGCATATTTGGTTTCTCAGGGAAATATTAAGAATAAACAGACAGTAGCTGTAGATAATATGCTTTATTCAGTTTACCCTGTACACATCATTCTCTTCTATGCTGGATATTTTTCCATTGAAAAAGTCAGGTTGCGCTTCCATGGCGGTGAGTTTACTGATGGTCCCGAACATGTTATCATGTTACAGCGACGTATGCATTACTTAGTTGCTACTAGTTAAGACACGACTTACAGATTTGCGGTGCAACCAAATTTAGTAAAAGGATAGATTGAAACTAACTAGTGTAACTAAAGACTCAGTAAAGAATTTACTCCTAAACTTAAGTATAAATTTATGCACACCTGGTGCAGCTCAGTCCTGGAACCAAACCTGTGTTCTTCTTACTGTTTTCTTCTAACCTACATATTAACTTTTATGTTTATTAGTATTTATTTTAACGTTATAAGTGATTTTACACTCAAGAACACACTTATTGCCGAGATAAACACATTTTAAACTACTTTCTCGGCCAGCCTAAGACTGTTAAACAGTGCTTTAGTTTAACTTTGCCTTTCGTGTCTGTAGGTTGTGGGTCTGTATCGCCTCTGTGGCTCTGCAGCTGTAAAGAAGGAGCTGCGTGATGCGTTTGAGAGGGACAGCGCGGCCGTCACTCTGAGTGAAGAGCTGTACCCAGACATCAATGTTATTACTGGTGAGTGCACGTACACACAGCGGCGCCGGTGGTAATTTTGGGCCCCCTGAAAATTTCATGCATGGGCCCCCTGGCCTCTCCTCCTTCGCCTTAGCAGGACATGTCGCAACATTAAAACATGCCAAGCGTTATTCTTTATTTTGTTACAGCTCCATAATCCCAACTATTACATTCACCATGTCGTCATCTCTAGCCTGCAGCAAGCTGTGAATATGAATATAAGCAATATGACTAGGGGTGGGAATCACAGGGCATCTCGCGATATGATATTATCATGATACGTTGCCCACGATAATGACGATATCACGATACTGCGATTCTGTGATACTCTGTATATTGCAAGACAGTCCTCTATGATACATCACGACATCTGTGTAGCTGAAGAAAATAAAATACTCTAAAATAGGCAAATAGCAGAAATAATGTATATTTCACTGACTTTGTTTGTCATCATTCCAATGTAAAATAGCCATAAACTGCCAGAAAGCAGAGCAAAAATCTTTTCATTTTCATTCATTTTCAACTACACTTTATGAGCGAAGGTCCTTGCAAATAAACCCAGCGATAAAGTAATACCAGTAATACTGGTAGCCCTTGGGGACGTAAAAGCAAGTTTGGCTTTAAAAGCTGTATTAATTGTAGGCTGACTTTGAGTTGTGGCAACGTTAGCTGTTCTCAACAACCAGATCAGGATGATGATGAAGAGGGTGGCTACGCATGTTCATTTACCTTGTTTTAACAAGACAGTTCTTGCAGATCACAGAGTCTTTGTCTATTTCATTTTTCTTTTTAATGCTGTAAAAGCCAAAGTGGGCCAAGACCTTCAACTTGAAAGAGGCACTTGACCCCTTTCTACTTCACCTTCACTTTCAAACTTTTACATTCTAGTGGTCAAGATAACACAACAGCTTAACGGAGTATGCTGAACAATTGTATTAGGAGGGAAAACCTTTACAGTAGGATATGAGGCTTGTTTAAACAGCTCCATTTCACAGCTGCAGTTACTGTAGCACATGCCTCCTTTCTATCAACAAATCCAGTATATCTTTACCCACCTTATATCGAGGGCCTAAATCGTCCTTAATGAGGTGTGAAAGTCATGTTAGCATTTAATCTTTAATCTATTAATCTTTAATTTTTGTGTGCAGAACTACTGTTTTTGCATTAAGACTCAGTTTCATATACAAGAAAAAGAGAAGAAATATAGACACATTATTGCACATTAATAAGGCTAATTTTGTATTTTCAAAACAAAAAAAGAAACATGACACACAATTTAATATCACCTTTCAGATCTTATTTGTATCAATGTTGTCGGAAGAAAACCTTGTATCTCCAAAATGACAACTTTACAGGAAAAGGAAAAACATACTTTACTTTTAATGTAAGCTAATGGAACCAGACATTTTTCCAAGTCATTTTGAGTCGTTTCTTTTGGTCCATTCATCATGAAATTTACACACAATGCAAAGGGTAACAGGCATTTTCAAATTACGTCAAAAACTAAAAAACGACAAGAGATACAAGGTTTTCTTCCGACAACAGCGATATATCGTCGCTGTCCAAAGAAAACCATGTATCTCCATTTTTGTCGATTTTTATTTTTCTACATCATTTCAACACACCAGCTGTCCTTTACGTTGTGTGAACATTTCATGATGCATGGACCAATAGAATTGCTGTAAAATCACTTGGAATAATTTATCTTTACATTGACTTACATTGAAAGGTAAGAGTGTTTTTGCCTTCTCCTGTAAAGTTCCTATTTTGGAGTTACTTGTTTTTCTTTGGACAGCGACGATATTTAAATAGATGCCATGACCCGTCCTGCTCAACACTCACACACACACGTACACTCAGCCTCATCTACTGTAATTTTTCCTCAGGCATTCTGAAGGACTACCTCCGGGAGCTGCCGTCGGCCCTGATCACGAAGACTCTGTACGAGGTGGTGCTGGAGGCCATGTGTCTGCGTCCGGCTTGCAGGAACGACAACGATGCACAGAGATCTCAGAGCACTGTCTCACTGCTGCACTGCCTGCCTGAACCAGAGAGGGTACTGTTCATATATACATACAGTACTGTGCCAAAGTCTTCTGAGAAAATGACATGTAAAGCTATATCTGGTCAGTTAGCATTTATTTGCTCAAAAAACAATAACAAAGGAATAAATCCAAGAAGACATCCCCTCATTATTTGAAGGGGGGGGTATTAGCTAAACAATTTCCAAATCTCTCCTTAAGGACCTCCAGGATTTAAAGTTACCTTCCAATATCTAGTTTATCTAATCAATCGTTCATTAAATTCTCCAGGGTATATTTTGTTTTTTCCATCTGAATTTACGTGACCAAATCGTATGGCAAATTATTCAGTAACTGCATGAAATAAATGCAAATTTTTATTTTATTTATTTAATTATAAAAGCTCCCCTCAAATTAACAGAACATGTGTTTTATGATCACACATATTGCTATATGCTTACAATTTACTGCTGAAAGCCAAAAATCTTAGACGCTCTTTGTGTTATTTTATAAAAATAATTTTTACAGAGCAGATCACTGAAGAGACGCCATCTGTTTATAGTTTATAGCTCAGATTTGTGGAAAAATGGGTCGACTTTCAGTAGAAAAAACAAGTTGTGAGTTCAGCTTCTTTTATTATAAGGGTTTAAAATTACATCACCCATCTATTTGACTGGAAAGAAGACAGTTACAGCTCTCATACGACCCCCACCTTTTAAATGTAGCTTATGAAATATGAAAGTTATGAAGAATATGACGAAGTGCGTTTTGGAACCACCGGTGGTCTCAAGGAGTTGAAGAGGTTAATTTAAATTAAGGGCTGCTGATGGAGTCGAACAAATCCATGTGAAGGCTGGAGAGCAGCAAGAAGTCAGGAAACAAACCTGTGTTCTTCTAACCAGTGTATTAGTAACTTTACTGAAAACAAAAAAAAGTCTTATGTTTGACTGTATTTGTGTTAATTTGTAGTTATTCTAATGTTATATAGTGTTTTTACTGACACACTTGCACTTACTGCCCAAGTACTTTTAAACAATTCCCTGGCTTCGTGAGGCTTTTCCCAGAACTGGGCACAGTACCCTTTATTTATATATTTATTATTCAGTCCAAGCAGCCATTATGTACAAATGATTTGTTTTACAGAATATTTTTAACATAAAATTACTCAGAAGTCTTAACAACTAAATATCCATAAATGTACATTATAATAACCCTTTTCATTGTTTAGTGTGTCACTTTATTAGAGCTTCCAATCTGTAGAAATCTACAAGGATATTTTTCCACACCTCCAAAGTCTTGCTTTTAACAATTCTAAGTGATCCCAAACATATTCAGTGATGTTGACTTCTGGACCCTGGTGTGGTCACTCTGTTGTTCTGAGAACATCAGCAGCTTCTTTGGTTGGTTTGCAAATTTTCTTCTATGTTCTTCTTTTTTCTCTTATTTTCTGCTTCTGCCAATCCAAGCAAGCCAAATTACAAATTTAGACCCATCAGTCCATAAAACCCCACTCCACGTCTCAGATGTCCAGTTTTGGTGTTCAAGGGCAAATTTTCTTATTCTTTGTCTGTCTTCTTTTCTTAGTCAGGTTCTTCTTGACAGCTACACATCCTTTCAGACCCATAGCGCTGAGTCGTCTTCTCACAGTGGAAGGATGGACAGAAACACCTGTGGATGTTTTCAGATCTGAAGCAGCTTGATTTTCTCCTCTCTCTCAGAGACGAAAGCTTTAAGGCTACGCTCACATTACAAGCCTCATTGCTTAAATCTGATTTTTTGCTCAAATCCGATCTCTCTGACACGATGGTTCACACTCGTTTAAGTGATTTTAGATCTGTCATTAATGTGGACGAACCGGCGTCCTGAAATGACCTGCATGGGCTCATCCTACTCAGTAGCGTCACGTGGATGAATCTCGTGCATCATCAGCAAACAGACTAACGATCAGAACGAGCTTCGCTGAGAAGATAATTAACTCTGATCAGCTCTCAGCTTCATTATTAGAGCGAGATGAAGGAGAAAAAGGTGAGATTAGCTGCTTTTCCACCGTTTACAGGCTTTAACTTCTGTTCGGCGCTGCTGCCATGGTAACGCTGAATGATGGTGCAGTGGAAAAAGAAAAAGCACATGAATTCCGATCAGAGCGTCATATTAAGGTCGCATGGCCACGAATCGGAAACGTATCCGATTTAGGACCACATATGAAAGTGGCTGGGGTTGGATTTGAACAGATCAGATTTGCGTGTCCACACAGCCCTGAAAACATCAGATCTGAGTCACAGTAGGTGTCTGTAGCTTTTAATCATTTTTGAACTCCATTTTTGGAAACTCCTGTTTTTTCACTTATTTTCCTTTGACTTTCTCCTTCTTTTGCCCATTAATATTTCAAGGGAGTTTTGACAGGAAATAAAATAAATGAAGGGTGGTCTCTGGCTTTTCTCCTCTCTTGAAGATGAAAGCTGTAAGTGCTGTTTATCTGATGGGGACAGTTTTGGTGGTCTTGCAAGTCTAGGAGTCCCATATTTGAAGAGTTTTGGAAACTCCTGTTTTTTCACGCATCTTCCTTTAACTTTCTCCTATAATTAACATCTCCTAAAAATGAATAACATGTACTTAATGGCTTGACTGTAAATTAAGTTCATAAAGGGTAGTCTCTGACTTTTGTACAGTACTGTATGTCTATTAAAATGTATTGCTTTGTCTTTGTGTGTGTTTCCCCTCTCTAGGCTACTCTGTCTTTCTTGCTGGATCATCTGAGTCTGGTGGCGTCCTTCAGTGACTGTAACCTGATGACGTGTCAGAACCTGGCTGTGTGTTTTGGTCCGGTTCTCCTGACCCCTACGCAGGAGTCCTGGAGGGCAGGGTTACCAGGATTCAGCTCAGGGGCCTCTGGGGTTTCCGGGGCCACTCGGAGTTCCCGCAGCAGCAACCACAGTGTGGAGATAGCCAGCGCCGTGGACTTCAAGAGACACATAGAGGCCCTACACTATCTACTGCAGCTGTGGCCACGTGAGTGAGAGTTGGTGGGAATGTGCTTGTTGAGTCTGCGCGTTCTCTTTATGTATTTATTTATGGGTTTACACTGTACGTACTTAGGTACTTCAAATAGCCAAGTTTTCAGCCTCTCTTATTCCTTAGAATTATACAGGCTGTTTTTGTTACTGATCCTTTATGAGGCATATATGATTAAATGATCTCTTTTCTGTATCTGTGTTTGAAAGCAGTCCAGCCTAAAACTGTCCTTATAACTTAGGTGTGAATGGGCAGAGCTAAACTGTTGCAGGCTGAGTAGAAGGATGTATGTAAATGAGCTGGTTTTTCGTGACATCACAGGAAAAAATTAATTCAAAACAAGCTGTTTTTGCAACTTTCCATATGCATATCGTTGCTGTCCAATGAAAAACAAGTATCTCCAAAATATGAACTTTACAGGAGAAGGCAAAAACACTCTTACCTTTCAATGTAAGTCAATGTAAAGAGATTTTGTTCCAAGTGATTTTAAAGCATTTCTATTGGTCCATGCATCATGAACTTTTTATACAATGTAAAGGACAGCTGGTGCGTTAAAATGATGTAGAAAAATAAAAATCAACAAAAATGGAGATACATGGTTTCCATTGGACAGCGACAATATATATAGACTTGGTACATTTTGATGCATTACCGTTAACATACTACATCAAACTCATTTATTTAATAAAAGTAAGGGAAATTTAATTTCCAATGACAGAGGCCTTTTCAACTGTGAACTCTAACCTTAAAGACTATCAGTATTGGCTATAAATTATTTATTAATTACTCGGAAACCAATGTGTTATATAGCTATGAGAGGAAGAAGTTGAATTGTGGGCCAAATATGGTTCCTCGCAGGTTAAGGGGCTAAAGTGTCTTACAGAAACACACTTCAAAAAGACAGAAGGTCCTGAGGGTTCCCCACTGCTTAGCATATCACAGTTATTTAAAGAATCACAGTAAAATCATATTGTGGCTCAAGTATTGTGACAATATCATATTGTGGGGCTTCTAATGATTCCCACCACTAATGATCATTGTAGAGTATCAGAGTGCATTTACATTCAAGGTGAGACACCACAGGTGAACAGGGTACTTATCTTTAAAACAATACATTTCACAGTGAATCTTTTCTAGTTCATTACTGTTATTCATTCAAGTGTAAAGTATGAAAGTTGATTTTTCATAATATTTTACATTCATGTTTAAATTATATTTTGATATGCAGAAGTAGCATTGTCTACTTAAGTATGCATATATTCAACAATTGTACACAACATGTTTTTGAAATCTCATTTTTTTTATTGTTTAATTAAGAAAAACTATGCACTGCTAATATAAAACATCTTTCGGGTCCCTTTGTAGTAAAAGTTATCTTGAGATAACGAGTTAATTATCTTGTTATCTCAAGATAACAAGTTTGTTATCTTGAGAGTTAGTTTTCTTGTTATCTCGAGATAACAAGTTAATTATCTTGTGATCTTGAGATAATGAGTTAACTTTGTTGTTATCTCAAGATAACAAAGTTGTTATCTTGAAACAACGAGTTAGTTATCGTGTTATAAAAGTTGTTATCTTCAGATCACAAGATAATTAACTTGTTATCTCAAGATAACAATCCAGGAAATGATAGCAACAGCTCATGGCCTCTCCGGACTTCTGTAGAAATTAACTTATTTCTGTTTTTGCTCTGATTTTGACATGTTTATGATTTTGCAATTTCTATAGATGTATAGATGTTTATCCAAAAATCTGAAAAATGATGAATGATTGAGGACCAAAACTTGAATTTCTGCCTGTAGCGTTTGGCCCTGAGTAACTGATGCTTCACCTTTTTTAAATAATCAGCGCTGTTGACAGCTTTTTGTTAACTAATTGTTGCATAAACTTCTCAGCTCTTATTCTTTTCTTCTTCTGTCATAGTTCCCACAGGGAGAGTGATAGACCAGTCATCTTACAGCCTTGAGGTTTCTCCTGTTTCCGTTCCTCCTCCATCCCAGAATCCCATGCAGCGGCGTGCGCAGCGCGTGCCGTTGCGCGTGGAGCTCCCGTTACCACAAGACGTCGTGGTGGTGTCTCGTAGAGGTCGCGGCCGACTGGAAAGCCCTCCCTGCAACCGCTACGCTGGAGACTGGAGTGTGTGTGGGCGGGACTTCCTGTCCAACGATGACGCGGATTACGACGAGGTGGCGGGCAGCGAGAGCGATGAAGAAGACGAGGAGGAGGAGAAGAAGGAGGAGGAAGTTTGGGTGTCCTCGGGTGGTCTGTATGCGGACGATTTCGCGCTGGACTTCGATGCCCCGTTTACATGCAGACTGAGTCTGAAAGACTTCGATAACTTAATCTCAGATCTGGAGAGAGAACTCGCCAAACAGATCAACATCTGCCTCTGAGCACCCACCCACTCTAAACCCTGTATCTGCAATGCATTAGAGCTATAAGAGTGTGAGAGTGGAGAGAGAAACTCGAGACACACTGTTCACAATGTGTTATAATTAACACTCAATGCACACCAGCACTGATAGAAGTAAACAACTAAAAGAATGTACTTCAGTGCTAAAAGCTATAGCTGTTCACCGCTCACAGTAACAGAGTCCATTCATACAGCTATAGGGCTGTATTACAGTACTGAAAACAGCTTTAAGACTGTACTACAGTGCTGAAAAGAGATATAGCACTACAATACTAAAAAACAGATAAAGGACTGTACAGCAGTACTGAAAACAGCTACAAGGCTGTATTACAATACTAAAAACAACTATAGGGCTAAGAGACAGTATTAAAATGACTATAGGATTTTATGACAGTAATAAACAGCTTGTAGATTCTATAACAATATTTATAACTGCTACAGGACTGCATAATAGTACATGTAGTAAAACATCTATGGGGCTATATGAAAGTGTGGAAAACAGGGCTTTATGACCATACTAAAACAGCTATAGGGCCGCACTACAAAACTAAAAACAGATTTAAGACTTTACTACACATTTAAAAACTGTACTACAGTACTAATAACAGCTTTATAAAACAGATACTTCTGGTCCTTAAATCTGATTGGCTGAGCCGCGTTCGAAGCCATTGTAAAATCCATGATATACGCACACCTATGACCGCTTCACAACAACCGCATTGGAATAATCTTTGACTCTCATGCTGCTCGCATGGACCACCAAGTATACTGATGAAGTAAGAACCCGTTTTCTGTTTAAACTGAGGGGCTGACGACTTATGTTCTTAACTAGAACTAGGCTGGTCAGCTAGCTAACAGGCTGAAAGAGTCAACAGCCTAAACAACTCCATCATTAATATCACAGGCTTGAATTAAAGTACTTACAGTGTGATTAACTGTAAAACGGCAGTATCAAAGTCTAAAGAATGTCACTTAAATGTTTTACACGCTTCAAATGTTCGTGTTTCAGTCAGAAGTTGCGTCAAACCCAGGCTGAATCCCAAACGGCTCTGTATTCCCTAGTTGTGTTCTAGCTATGTAAGTTTAGAAATTCTAGCCTCTACAGCCAAATAGTGCATCATTTATTGAGTGTGGATGTGTCCCAAATGACTATTTATTAGCTATAGTTACACTGTTGGGCTGCAGGATCCAGTATTTGAATTCCTATGTAGTGCACTCTATGGGAGCAGGGAGTCATTTGAGATTCAGCCCCAGCGTGAGAGGAGGGGCGCCGCTGGATTGGTGCTAAACAAGACTTGCGGTGGTAATTTGGTGACCAAAAAAGTACTTATAAAGTGAAAGTTTTTGCATTAAACAGTGCTGTGTTATCATATTTTAATTGTTATTTGACAAAAAGTTAAATAATTAATTAAATGATTAAATGACAATATACAGCAGTGGGCTACCGAACGTTCACCTCATTCAGCGGTCCATGGTTGCTTGGCAACAACACCATTCTCTATAGGAACTACATTTCTTGGCGTAATACTTGATTATCGATTATTAATAAATTATTTTCTGAAAAATTGTGTATTTTATCATATTTTACGTTGGCTGCCGTTTTATAATATCAGTAAGCCACTTGCACATCAATATTGAAAACAGCTATAAGGCTTTGTGACAGTACTTAAACACAATAGGACTGTGCTACAATACTAAAAACAGCTACAGGACTGTACAGTACTAAAACAGAGCCTTAAGACAGTACTAAAATACTTCGTACTTAGTAAATATGATCAAGTAAATTGTAAATATCTACTGAAAATTAGATAACAAATGCCTTAACATTGCACTGCAGATACAGGGGTTCACCTGAGTGAAATAATAATGAAGAGAAACCTAAAGAGACTTTTTTCTTGCTCTGAAGGACGACGACAAGCAGTTTGTTCTGCTTTAGTATGTGAAGTTTATTTAATAGCACCCCAGTGGTTGTGAAATTCCAGGCCTGCAGGACTACACGGTTTATTTCTGACCAGCTCAAAACAGACCTACTAAGGACCTACCACACCAGATCTCTCACAGAGAGTACTCTCACAGTTACATCAATAACATTAATGTGGACAATCATAGAGCATTGACCACCTTCTGTGGTCAGTTGAGCTTGTCATTGGTCAGAAGATCACTTACATAGCATCGCAAAGGCTGTAGGTTCTGCAGTAGTGTGACTGCGATTGGTACATTATATCATTTTGTTATTTGATTGGCCAGGTTCCTGCCTGTTCATTATGATGTGGCAGAAATCTGGCGTTTGAGAAATGGCCGGTGATTTAAGTGAGCAGGGAAAACACTAAACCATGCAAACTGTGCAGTGCTCAGACTTCTTAGAGCTGTAGTTGGTTGCCCTGATTCTGGGGCTTGTGCTTGTGTATTTCTCCTATTCCCAGGAATGGTCTCGTCCCGGTGACCAGCCAGTGACGCTTGGGCCAAGAATTTTGTAATTCTTTCCACCAGGACATTCCGTTACTGGTCCAGCACCAGCACTTCCAGTCAGCCATGGAGTCTTAATGCTCGAGATGCTTTCTCGCTCTGCTTTTGCGTTTGTAAAGATTGTGTTTTATTGTCATGCTGATTTGTTGCCTGTGCCAAACAGGCCTGAGTAAATGCCTAACAGTAGACATGCTCAGGTTATGTATTATGAAGTCTTTAGTTTTGAGGTCACTTATGATGTGAATTCAGGTTTTACAATTCCAGTAATACTTAAGATTAAGGTGGACAATCATAATATAAATTATGGACCAGCAGAGTGGGTCAGAAGAAGGAAAAATGTATTTTGGTTTAATGTGGAAGAATTAATTTACCAGTATAAAAGTGAAGAACCAACAATAGAGACTAAAACATCTTCGCCTAATGTAGAAACCATATTTGCATATTATCATTTGATTTATAAGTAGGCTCAGTCTGTCAAAATGAAGCACTATGGATTGGCAAATCAGGACGGACTCACAGTCTCTTTCTGCACACTCCTCTGTGTTTCTATGTGTTTATATTCACGTGGAGGATTATGTTCTCTAACCTAACTTGCTTACAGACCAAAGACACATTTGATAGTTTTATTGCACTTCTTGATTGCGTGTAAGGTTGTCTTTTTTGCTGCTTACTTGGTCAGATGCAGTACATGGTGTTGCCGTTGCCGGTGTAGCACTGTTCCTCTATTTGAGCACGGTACAAATATTTAGCCAACTGTGATTTGTGATATATAAAAAAGTAACAGGTGGAATTCAAAGGCCATAACTAAGCCAGAGTTTGCTTTTCATGCAAAACGATTTAATCTTATTATTTTTTTGTATTTTGTTTTGTCTTATAAACAGTATTATTTTATATTGCACATTTACAACAAGCACTTATTTTTACTGTGTACTATGCCTCTGTGTACTAGTGTAAAGGACTCCTCTCTTAAATTGGTACCTTTATGTACCCTTCAGTGTTAATCCAACAACATAAATGAAAAATAAAGCACAGTATTACAGTTCCTAAACACCACAGACACAGTCCTTTCATTATGGTCTGACATGAATTACATTCTTATTTAAAGGGGAATTCCACCAGTTGTTCTGCATAATTCAGTGGCTGAGATGTAAACAAAGCTGTTTGATGTGAAACTGTAGAGAAACCTACCAACTCTGATTTCTTTACAGTGTACAGTGGTGGTGACACGAATTAGTGGTCTTGATGTTTAAAACACAAATATAGCCATTTTATTTACCTTTGAAAACCACCAGTAAACCTACACATGTCTTCTGAGTTTTTATATTGAATGTTGATGATGGTAAAATACTGGAAAATCTGAAAAAATTTAGGGACTTTTTTGCACTGCAATGCCCTGCATGTACCCCTCCACCATAAATGGATTCAAGAATATATAATTTTAGGCCAAAACGTCTATAACATCAGGCAGTGTATTCATAACCATGTCATGCAATATCTTTAGTGAGGGAGCTTTTACAGGCATTAAACTCTTCAGACGTCTGGTTCCTGTCACCACCACTGTGAACATTTCTGACTAGGTGAGTTTCTCTTGAACAGATCTTTTCACATCAAACTACTCTTGTTTACATTATAATTCAGCACTGAATATGAACCAGCAAAACCCAAATGACTCACTTCTTGCACAATTAACAATGAGACAGTTTTCTAAAAAAGAGCTTGAGCCAAGTCACACCATGAGTGGGTATTCTTCAGCTGAAACCCATTTCAGACTAGAAGCAGGATCGAATTGGACCTACAGAATTGAGCCCCAACCTATCAGCCAAGAGGAAGCAGGGCGTAAAGATAAAACTGACTTCAAGGTCACCCCATATACACAATTTTTAGAGCACTCCTGTGAATTTTCTGACAGGCACATCAGTTATTAAAAGAGACTGCGTCCGCTTTTTCCTTTTGCTTTTAAACAGATGGAGTGTTTAAGCATTTGTGTGCTCGGCCTCTTACATGTCTGGGATTCCGGATGTGTCAGCTTGGTGTTTGGAAATTCTTCACATCTATCTTCGCAAAGTTCAGCCAAAGGCCTCTCTGTTCTGTGTCATACTAGACATGTTTTGCTGTGTTTTTATGAGCTTTGGTCAACAATAATGCTCTGTTTCAAATGTACATAAATTACATTTATTTAAAAATAAAAAAGAAAATCCTACAAAATATAGTGAAATTAAACATTAATGAAAGAAATTAGCTTATATAAACAATTAACCATTGATATAATGAGATTTTGGAATGGATTCAGTGACCTAAGCATATAATCAAGGGTTATCCAACCCCAGTCTAACATGCACGACTCATCTAATCAGCCTCAACAGGAGCATTCTGAACATGACTGCTTTTAAGGGGAAGTCCACTGATTTTTTAAAATATCTGCACAAGTCAATAGTTGTGTTGTAAATAAAATTATTCAGATTGGTTTGATGTGAAATAATTTTCAGTTGTTCACTGCAGAAAAACTTACCGACTGACTTCTTTACAGTGGTGGTGATGGGAACCAGGAGTCTACAACACAAATACAACCCTTTTATTTACTATCCAAAACGACCAGTGAACCTACACATGTCTTCTGAGGTTTTTATATGGAATGGTGGTAAAATGATAAATCTGAAAAAATAAGTTCTTTGGGGACAACTTTGCTTTACACTGCCATGCATTTTTCCCTAAAAATATGTTTCAGATCAAAACATTATATCAAAACTATTGTAAAACAACATCTTATTCATAACTATTTCATGTAATAACTTTCTGTGAAGGAGGTTTTAGAGGCATTAAACTCTTCAGACGTCTGGTCACCACCACCACTGCAAACAATTCTGACTCTTAAGTTGCTCTAGAATGGAGCATTTCACATCAAAACCCTCTGAATGACTTTTTTCATATCTTAACCATTCAATTATGCAGAAATTTTGGAGAATCAGTGGAATTCAATTTCCCTTTAAGAAGGTTGCTTTCCTTACCTCACAGAAAGCGATCATACATGGAGTGTCAGTATAACGCATGAACAGAGAATCGCTGTGTTTCTACATATTAAAATAACCACTATCCACTTTACCCCTATTGTTTGATAGATTTCTGAAAGGAGTCCACCTCTACGAAAGGTGCTGTGACACTGGTAACCATCATCTAGCCCAGCAAGAGATGAGCTCTATGGTTTTCCACTGTCCTCCTCACCGCTCTCCTGCAAGGAGCAACACAGTGATATCATTTTTAAATGTCTTCATTGTTTTTACTTAGTTATCAGAAAAGACTGAGGCTGATTTTTCTTC